TAGGGGAAGGAAAGGAAGGGAAGGAGAGCAGATGAGAAGAGAAGAGGATAGGATAGAATAGAACTGAAAATGAGGAAAGAGAAGACGACAGAAAAGAAGAGAAGAGAAGAGATATGAGAAAAGATGAGATAAGAGAAAAGAAGAGAAAAGAAGAGAAAAGAAGCAAAAAGAAGATAAAAGAAGGGAAAGTAAGATAAAAGAAAAGACAAGAGACAAACAAGAGAGAGCAAGGGAGAGAAAGAGAAAGCGCCAGTTTTCAATCCATCAAGTCGCTTCGCAGTCCAGATCCCAGGCCCCCGCGCGCGTGTGCGCCCGCACGCTCGTAGCCGTAGCTTAGCCAATGCGTATAGGAAAACAATAGTCGGAGGGAGAGAGACTTTCTCATGCGCTTCTTTCTCGATAATTAAGCATTTCTCTCTTATATAGAGAAATCTATTTTAACGAGGTCTCTCTTTTATCTCTGATTCTCCTATCTCTTTATCGTGTCTTTACCCAAACCTTTCCTTTCCCTCTCTATTCTATTTTTCTCTCTCTCCCTCTCTCCCCCTTCCCCTCTCCCTCTCCCTCTCCCTCCCTCTCTCTTTCATCCTCTCCCTCTCCCTCCCTCTCTCTCTCCTTCTCCCTCTCACATTCTTTTTCCCCTTCCATCATGTTACTGCATCCCATTCTACCCCCCTCCCTCCCCTTCCCTCCCCCTCGCCCAACATCCTCACCCCCCCCCCCTCGCCTGGTGGAGCATATGGCAAAATTCTCACGTATATTCGTTCCTGCGCTTCTCTCTCTTTTGGTGTATCTAACTGTCTATCTTTTTATCTCTTTCTACGTTTCTTGCTGTCCTTTGTGTCTGTATTTGTATGTCTTTGGTTTCTTTTCTTTCCTCATATTCATCTCTTCCTTCATTCCTTTCTTTCTTTCTCTCTTTTTTTCTCTCTCTCCTTCCCTTCCTCATCCCGAACTTCCTTGTCCCCCCCCCCCACCTCTCTCTCTCTCTCTCTCTCTCTCTCTCTCTCTCTCTCTCTCTCTTCCCATTATCTTAGAATTTCTTCTTCTTTTCGTCTTTTTCTCGGTCTCTGTCCTCGCCTTTCCCTTTATTTCCTTCTCTTTTTCCCCCTATCCTTTCGTCTCTCAACATCATCTCTATTTTATCGTGTTCTATGCTCTTCCCTCCTCTTCCCCTTTTATCGTCTCTACCCTCCCTACTTTCTTCCCCTCTCTTCTCCTTTTATCGCCCTCTCTGCTCTTTCATCTCTCTCTCTTCCTCTATTTTATCGTCCTTTATACTCTCCCTCCCTCTTTCTCTTTTCCATCAGGTTCCTCGGGTCTTCCTCCTTCACGAGTTTTTTCTTCTTTTTCTTATTCTCATTCGTGGGTCTTTCTCTCTGTCCTTTTCTTGTTAATCTTACGCTTTCTCTCTCTCTCTCTCTTTCCTTCATTATTTTCATATTCATTCGTGACGAAAAGAACGATAATTACAGAGAGAAAAAAAAACAGCAGAAGACTACTGAGGAGGGGAAGGGAGGAGGAAGAAAGGAGGAAAGAAGAAGAAAGGAGGAAAAGAGAAGGGAGGAGGAGGAGGAGGAGGAGGAGGAGGAGGAGGAGGAGGAGGAGGAGGAAAGGAGAGGGGAGAAAGGGGAAAGAGAAGGGAAGAGGAGAAGGGAGGAGGAGGAGGAAAGAGGAAGGGAGAAAAGGGGAGAAGGTAGGAGGAGGAGAAGGAAAGGGGAGAGGGTAGGAGGAGGAGAAGGAAAGGGGAAGGGAGAAGGGATGATAAAAGGGGGGGAAGGAGATATGGAAGGAAGATGAATGGTTTATTCGTGACGTGAGTAATGTGCAGTAAGGCTGACCATATGCCCGAGATACCGCTTCCTCGCGTTTATTTTCCTCCTTAAAAGATATTGATAACAATAATGATGATGGTAACGATAGGAGTAATAGTAATGATGTAAATGAGAACACCGTCTCTCCCATTCTCTCTCTCTCACTCCTTTCTGCATTCTTCTTATGTATCCATTCATACATATTCGTACGAGCAGAAACACACACGCATACGCACGCTCGCACACACACACACACAAACACACACAAACAAACACACACACAAACAAACACACACACAGAAACACACACACACACACACAAACAAACAGACACACACACAAACAAACAGACACACACACACACACACACACACACACACATACACACACACACACACACACACATACAAACACACACACACACATTTTTCTCATACTTTACTCCGAGAAACAAAAGTAACAAATAAAATCCAGGAATCGTTCGCTAAAAGATTCGATTGTCGGCCGAAAGGTGTTAAAAATAAAGGGAATTGAAAAGAAGTAAGATAAAGAGGGAAGAGGGAGGAAGTGGGAGAAAGGAAAAAAATGAGATAACAGAAGAGAGAAGATAGAAGAGGGAAGAGAGAAGAGGGAAGAAGAGAAGAGGGAAGAGAGAAGAGGGAATAAGGAAGAGAGAAGAGAGAAGAGGGGCAAAGGAAAAAAAGGAGGAAGAAGAGGAAAGGGGAGAGGGGAAGAGGAAAGGGACGAAAAGGGAAGAGGAAAGAGGGTAAGAAGGAAAAAGAGAAGAGCGGAAAATGGTGAAAAAAGAAAGAGAGGAAAACTGAAAATACCCAAAAGGATACATAGATGAAGTAAAAAAAAAAGAAAAAAAAGAAAAAAAATGAAATAAACAAAACGAGAAATAAAAGCAAGAAAAAGCAAGAGAAAAAAAGGAGGGAAGAAAAACCAAAAGAGGGAAAGGGCGAAGAGGGAGAGGGAGAGGGGGAGGGGGAGGGGGGAGAGGAAAAGGGGCAAGGGGCAATATCCTACCCCGCCCCTTCACCCAAATGGACAAGCATGGACAGAGATTGATGATAAAGGAGGAGTGGGGGGGGGAGGCATAGGGGGAGTAGGGGTAAGGGGGCATAGGGGTAGGGGGCATAGGGGTAGGGGGCATATGGGGGAGTAGGACAGGGGGTGAGGAGAGAGGAGGAGGAGAGGGAGGGGAGGGAAGGGGGATAGATCATGTGTAGACGAGAGGAAGAAGAAAAAAAAAGCGGGGGAAGGAGGAGAAAGGAAGGAGAGAGAGATGGAAATGGGAGAAGAAGAGGAGAAAGGAGGAAGAGGAGAAAGGAGGAAGAGAGGAAAGGAGGAAGACAAAAATATAGACAAATGGAGCGAGAGAATGAGAATAAGATACACTGCCGGCGTAGAGAATAATAATAAATGACGACTGATGATTGATGATGATCACAATGACAATAAAGATGAGGATAGAGATGGATGAAAATAAGAATAAAGATAAAGATAAAGACAGAGATAACGATAAAGATGATGAATAAGGAAGAGGAGACGAGAGAACCGAAGGAAAACACGAGAGACGAGGCCCTGTTCGCGTCCCAGGTAATGTTGCATGATTGCTCGCTCTCCCCCCCCAACCTCCCCTCGCTTCATGGCATCGCGGGCGGCCGGATGGGCGGCGCTGACCTTTGCCTCTTACCCTCTGCTGACCTTTCAAGCGCTCTCGCTCTCTCTCTCTCTCTCTCTCTCTCTCTGGTATTTATTCCCTTTCTTATAGTTTTCTCTCAGTTTTTTTTCTCTGTATTTTTTTTTGTTCTGTCTCTGTCTCCGTCTCACTTTTTTTTTCTCCGTCTCAATTTCAAATCCTTTTTTCCCCTCTCTCTCTCTGTCTCTGTCTCTGTCTCTGTCTCTGTCTCTGTCTCTGTCTCTCTCTCTCTTTCCTTCACCTACACATTCCTTTACACACTCTCTCTCTCTTTCCCCTCTCTCCCTCCCCTTCAGCCTCTCCCCCTCCCCCACCCCCTCCCTTCCTCCCACCCATCAGCTAATACGACTCAACACCCATAATGCATTTGTCAAAAGCGCGCTCCATCGCCTGGATTATTATTTACAACGGGATTAGAACCTCCCCGAAGCGGAATCGAAACCGAAGCGGGAATTCGAAACCGAAGCAGGGGGGGCTCCCACACAATTCGCACACCATTTAAAACCCTCCTCGATACTTATCCGCACAACAATTCGTGTGGAGCCGAGTGGACGTTATTATTTCTCCGCGTTTCGCCGTCGCCGCCGCCGCCGTCGCCGCCGCCACTACGGATGCTGTATTGCTATTGAATTGGCGAGGCGTTCGTGTTGCATTATCTACTGTATTCAGGGGCGAATCCAAAGAGGAATTCCCAGAAGTGAATTAGAAGTCCTCTCGCGCTGCTAACCCGATGGGCCCCTCTCTCCCTTTCTCCCTCTCTCCCTTTGTTCGTTGTTCTTTATTCTATTTCTCTCGGTTGCTTTATATTTTATTTCTGTTTTCTTTCTCACCCCCCATCACCTCTCTCTTCCTACTTCTTTATTACGGTCTCCTCTTCTTTTTCTTCTTCTAAATCCTCTCTTAATCATTTATTAATTCCCTAATTCCCTCTCTCCTTCAGCTAACCTCTCTTTTCCTTTATCTCTCTCTCTCTATCCCTTATATTATTTCTCCTAGTTTATCACTCTTTCTCCATTACATTTCATTTCATCCTATTCTCTCTTCCGGATCTTTCTTTCTTGCCTTCTGTTCTCTTCATTATTTTATTTAAAAGGAACCACACAAACAATAAGTAAATAAATAAGCAAACAAATGATAAACAAACATACAAACAAACAAATAAATGATAAAAAAAACATACAAACAAACAAATAAATGATAAACAAGCATACAAACAATATAAATAAAATGATAATCTAACATACAAACAAACAAATAAATTATAAACAAGCATACAAACAATATAAATAAAATGATAATCTAACATACAAACAAATAAATAAATGATAATCAAACATACAAACAAACAAATAAATGACAATCAAACATACAAACAAACAAATAAATGATAAACAAATAACAAAATAACAATACTAAAACAAAACAAAACAAAAAACCACCCCAACCAACCCCAACCACAAACCTCCCCCCCTTCTACTCAC